TGTATGTGATATGAATCCACAAATGTGCGCGGATTTGGCAGAGATTCCGTACTAAACACGTTATCATGGCCACCAGTCGAGCTACCTGGATCTCATCATAATTAGTGATGAAGGCTGTACACTTGGATTGAATTTTAAACGCACTGGACCGTAGCAATCTTTAGGTTCTTGTTTTCGGAACATTCATCTTTCTGTACCCGAAGTTTGAACAGTAAGGGAGATACATGGGTGGAAAGGGGAATGTTCTGAATTGAAAGAACTGCTGATTGAGAAAGATTGGAACTTTGCCCATTTATCTGATCCAAGGGGCCTGGGTTTTTTAAGAGCTTAGTAAAAAAACATGTAAGAAAATTGTTGCCCTCTTAAAAGTAGATCGCGAGTCACTCAACCCGAGTGGGTGACATCGGAAATAAAAAGAAAGCTCAAAAAGAAAAGAAGACTTTTAAAGTAATATGTCACATGTCAACAGTTCGGAAATTTTTCCAAATTAGGAAAATAGCTGAATAAGTGTCGGCATCTACCAAAAGGAGAACGGCCAGTATTTAAGTCAAAAATAGTCTAAAAATACCGAGAAATCTGAAGAAGTTCGTGGCTTATGTGAGTAGAATAAAACGCAATCCGGACTCCATTCCTTGTCTAAAAATTCATCTAGGAAATAAATTAACCGGTAACTATGATAAAACGACTTTCTTATCCAGTTTTGTCATGCACGTAATGACGTCCACTTTCCAACCCAATCTCCCTGCGCCAAACTAGCAAAGAAAGCTATAGTCATCCTGGAGACAATCAAAAGATCATTCCTTAACTTTGACGAAGAACTTTTCAGTCGACTATTTGGAGCATATATCCGGCCAGTGGTTGTTGTCCACTTAATCTGAGCAAAGCCATCGACAAGACGCCCCACGGACGTCTGTTGGTGACATTTTAAGCTCTCGGCATCTGGCCGCCTCTACTTCACTTCCTCGGGTCCTACCTGTCCAATTGCTATCAAAGAGTCATGGTTAGTAACAGCTCCTCACCTCATTCGATCACGGGTGGCGTACTTCAAGGCACGGCTCTGTGTCCGCTACTATTCTCCCTTTACATCAATGATATTTCCACCGATGTCAGCAATTCGCAAAATTTTTTTCATGCCGATGACTTCAAGTGTGTTTACTTATATTCTAGGGACACCGCGAATGTTTGTGTTGGGAATATTAATGCCGATTTACTACGCTTAAGTTGATGGAGTGCAACATGGCAGATAGATTTCTCATCGTCCAAGTGTAATTTCATGCCTTTTGATCTTACCAATCTCCCTGGCCTCAAGATTTTGAAGAATAACCTACTTTCAGAATGCTTCGCCATAAAGGACCTAGGTTTATGTTGTACAGATAAACTTGCTTTATCACCTCAAGCAAATACAATCTCTGTCAAAGCTGCACAGATATGTGGGCCCATGTCACATCATTTCTTCCATCCGGAAATGAAGTTAAAAATTTATCAAATGTTTGTTCTTCCTGTCCTCGAGTACTGCTGTCCATTCTTTGGTTTAATGAACGCCTGTGACCGCAATAAAATCAAAAATGTTCAGGGGGTTTTCATCCGGAAACTCATCCCTCAAGCTGCATCTGATATTTCTTATGCTCAGAGAGCGAACATTAAGTTTTTATATAGTAGAAGACTCGAAGCTGGCACTTGTTTCCTTTTTAGCACTAACTCTTTCTGCAATCTTACGCTCATTGACACTCTCACTCCGAGAAATTTGTCCTATTCCACGCGCAACTCATCCATGCTGATCCTGTCGCCGCTATGCACTACATCTAAACGCTCCGTCTTTTTGCACTTTTGCCTAAGTTATCGGTGTTCAAATCGAAATTGCTTAAGAACCTTACGTTATAAAGTATAAAGTCACCATTAGCTGTTTGATTTCCGAAAAGAATCCCTTGGGATTAAATGGTTGATCAAATGGGAACCCTCACTTATACTTTGCAACCCCCTGTTTTTAATTGGCTACTAAATCCACTGTTATTACTCATCCCCACAGCGACGGTTTTCGCGCATCTTGATGCCATCTCCTCATCTCGACCTCCAGCGGTCTGTCGACGCTGATGGCGAAGTCCTCTATATTTGTCGTCCGTTAGTAGTTGTATCGGTCTGCAAAGGGATCTCGTGGTCGTATTTCCCCTGATCCTCCTCGGCTGGGCTCGAAGAGGAGTGTGACCGATCGTATCTGTGTTCCTCTCATCTCACCATTTGGATGCGAATAGTCTCATCCGGTGTATGAGATCTGCCCTTATACACTGTCACATGCAGGCCAGTACTGTCTGCTTCACATTCTTACCCCTTCTTGAAATCCGCTATACACTGCCACATGCCGGCCGGTTCTGCCCGCACTCTTATCCTTTAATGAGCGACAGTTTTTATTCTTCAAAGCTAGTCCAATCATTTTGTTTATTTTATTAGCGAGCTTTTTTCACTCCTGACTACTGATTTTTCTGACCAAACTGCATAGTACAAAATCATAAACTCAATACTTTGGAGAGCTGTCAACCTGTTCTAAATTTCCTATGAAAATTCATCTTTAGTCGCTATGATGGGATACAAAGGGTCTTTAATAAAAACTCCTCTTTAATAAAAAATGCATCAACCTTCTCTACGCTGGCTGAACCATAAGAAATCACCTGGTCCAGATAGAATTCATCCACTTGCCCATCGAGAATTAGCTGACGTACTGTATGAGCCGGTGTCCATGATATTTCAGAAGTAATTGAACGAAGGCAAACTGCCGGAGGAAGGGGAAACAGTCCTTTTTTCTCCAATCTATGGAGAAGGATCCAGGATGGAGCCCGAAAATTACCGTCCTATTAGTTTAACCTGCATTTTGTGCAAGGTCATGGAACGACTTATTAAAGGACATTTAACGTCGTATATTGTGTGCTGCTCATCACGGATTTCGTCGTGATCACTCACGTCTTACAAACAGTCTTTACTCGCAGGAAAAATGAACAAAAGTCATAGACTAGGATCCTCCGGTGGATATCATCTTCTTTGACTCTAAGAAGACGCTTGATAGCGTTCCTTATAGACGACTCCTACAGAAGATTTAGAAGTGTGGAATACAGGGCAAGGCAGAAGCCCAACAGGCGGCCACAGTGAGAAAACTTCTCTAGGTGGGTCGGGTACAACGGGATGGCGGTTTTGAGGGGAAGCGCGGGCGGGGTAAACAGCAGAGGGCACTGGATTGACAGTTGGATGTCGAAAAATGTTGGAAATCGCAGAAAAATAATTATTTTTTTAATGAAGTCAAAAATAGCGGAGGATGGCGCGCAAATAGGGAAAACCGTAGACAATGCCCAATCGCAGGTGGGCTGGGGGGGGACGTGATGTGATTGGCGGCCGGGGCAAGTAAACTTGAACCGCCAAGCGGCTAACCAATGGGATCGTTGGCGCCACACTTGAAAGTGGTGTGCATCAGGTGGACGCGAAACATACGATGCGCAAGGGGAACGCGAGGGGACAGCGGTGTACTGCGGTTGGGTAACAGTGATTGAATAAACTGCTTATGACATTTGCGTCACTTCCCAGCCCCTTACTAACCCCCTCCTCACCCCCTCCCTATTTGTTATATCGGTGATCTCCACCGCATGCACCGTTTAATACGCATAACGCGAACAATGTTTAGGATACCTGGACGTACTCCAACACCACTGCACCAACCTACAGCAAGTCGGCAAGCTCCCGAACTTGGCGGTCGCTGTTTTACGGGATTTGTAAGTATCCATGGTAAGAGCAGTTTGTAGGCCTACGTAACCCTTTTAAGTTTAAATTTAACCGCAGAGCATATTGCCGGGTGGGTATAAGTTATGTGAGAAAATACGGAGAAAGTTACGGTATGTCTGAGTAGTTAGCAGAGACCGCATGATGGTCTACTATCTATAAGCAACCGGTAATTCAACTAAACCTCATTCTTAGGTGTACCATGATATATCTAGGCACACGTAAGGGAAAAGAGGGGTAGGGGATATGTATAAGTTGAAAGCAGCGGTATCGTAAACTCCTACTGTTTAATATCTAGATCGTCACCGAATGCAGGCGGACGTAGGCGCGGTCCTCAGCGGATTATACCGACGGCCGAGGATGAAATACAAGCTGTCCTTCAGTCAGCAGGTGTCGTTCAGTGCCTGCAGCGGTGGAGGTTGCTGGCCACCACCTTAGCATGCCGATGTCGGCGTGCTGTGCAGATGCAAGTGTTGCGGCAGCATACGGACGGTTATGCATTCCGTTGTGGACACTGCAGACGGAAGCGGTGCCTGCGGACGGGGTCAATTTTCGTTGGTAGTAAGCTCAGTCTGCAGACACTGATGCGTATATGCTACAAGTTTGTCGGAGGTGTGCCGGCCAAGCGGTGTGCGGCAAGTGTAGATGTCAGTAGAAATACTGCCATGGAATGGTACGGCATTTGCCGCGGGGCCTGCTCACATGCACTTCTATCCGCCGTAACCCAAAATGGGGGACCAGGCGTGGAAGTACAGATAGACGAGACGCTCATAAGTCGCCGCAAGTATAGCAGGGGACGATCGCGGCGGCAGTTGTGGGTCGCCGGTATGTACGATACACACAGGCTGAAAGCCGTATTTGAGCAGGTTAACAACCGCAGCTGGGAGGCCCTAAGGCCCGTCATAAGGAAGTGGGTGGCTGTTGACAGTGTTATCGTAACCGATGAGTGGAAGGGTTGCACCCGCCTACCATCGGAAGGTTATACGCACTACACTCTCAACCACCGTAGGGGCTTCGTGAATCCCACAACGGGACGGCATACGAACGTCATAGAGGCCTACTGGGGCAGATTAAAGAGGAAGCTGCAGGAGTCTGGACCTGTCTGTGGCAGAGCAGTGTGGGCCCACCTAGATGAGGTTCAGTACCGTCTCTGGTTCGACCTAGGGGCCGACAACATGGCAGCCTCCTGGGAAACTTTCCTACGACAATGGGCAGAAGCGTATCCAATTGAAGAGAGCCAACGAACGGTGACTGGGTAAGCTAACCAACGGAGGCGCATACGGAAGACGTGAAGGCAAGTCTCTGTACTTCCTCCATTTACTCTCCATGCCTACCTACAATGAATGCAGCCGTTACCTACTGGCGATAGGAAAGCTGGCGATTGAGAAGAGCCTACAAACGGCGATTGGATAAGCTAACCAACGAAGCCGCCGACGGAAGACATGAAGGTAAGTCGCCGTACCTCCTCCATTAAGTCACAATGCTTGCATACGGTGAATGTGCCCGTTTAACGGATGACGATGGGAGATCTGGTGATGGAGGAGAGCCAACCAACGGCGATTAGATAAGCTAACCAACGGAGCCGCAGACGGCAGACGTGAAGGTAAGTCTCCGAACCTCCTCCATTAAGTCTCAATGCCTGCATACGGTGAATGTGGCCGTTTAATGGATGGTGATGGAAGTGCTGGCGATTGAGGAAAGTCAACGAACGGCGATTGGATAAGCTGGCCAACGGAAGCACAGACGGAAGACGTGAAAGTTAGTCTATGGACTTCGTCCATTTACTCTCCATGCCTAACTACAGTGAATGTGGCCGTTATCTGCTGGCGATTAAGGAGAGGCGACCAACGCCAACTGGATAATCTAACCAACGAAGGCGCAGACGGAAGTCGTGAAGGTAAGTCTCCGTACCTTCTCCACTTAGTCTTCATGCCTATCTACAGTCCATGTGGCCGCAGGTAACGACCGCATTCAATTGGATACGCCTCTGCCCAATATCGTAGGAAATTTTCCCAGGAGGCTGTTATGTTGTCGCCCCTTAGGTCGAACCAGAGGCGGTACTGCACCTCATCTCGGTGGGCCCACACTGTTGTGCCGCAGACAAGGCCAGACTCGTACAGGTTCTTCTTTAATCTTCTCCAGTAGGCCGCTGTGGCGTTCGTATGCGGACCCGTTGTGGGATTCTCGAAGATACTACTGTGGTTTGACAGTGTAGTATGTATAACCTTCCGACGGTATGTGGGTGTAACCCTTACGCTCCTCGGTTACGATAACACTACCGGCAGCCACCCACTTCCTTATGACGGGTCTTAGGACCTCCCAGCTGCGGTTGTTAACCGGCTCAAATAGGGCTTTCCGCCCGCGTATATCGTACATACCGGCGACCCACAACTGGCACCGCGGTCGTTCCCCGTTGTACTTGCGGCGACTGCTGAACGTCCCGTCTATCTGCACTTCCATTCCATGGCAGTATTTCTACTGACACCTACACTTGCCGCACACCGCTTAGCCCGCACACTTTCGACGAACTTGTAGCATATACGTAGCAGTGTCTGTAGACTGAGCTTGCTGCCAACGAACAATGACCGCGTCCGCATGCTCCGCCTCCGTCTGCAGTGTCCACAACGGAATGCATAACCGTCCGTATGCTGCGGCAACACTTGCATCTGCACAGTACGCCGACATCGGCATGCTAAGGTGGTGACCAGCAACGTCGACCGCTGCTTATACTGAACGACGCCTGCTGACTGAAGGACAGCTTGTATTTCATCCTCGGCCGTCGGTATAACCCGCTGAGGACGGCACCTACGTCCACCAGCAGTCGGTGAGGATCTAGATGTAGAATTGTGGGAGTTTACAATACAGCGGGTGTCAACTTATACATATCCCCCACCAACCGACGAATTCGCAGACGGATATCGTGAAGGTAAGCTTCTTTACCTACTCCATTTGCTCTCCATGCCTACCTACAGTCATTGTGACCATTACCTGCTGACGATGGTAGAGGTGGCGATCGAGGAGACCCAACCAACGGCGATTGGACAAGATAACCAACGAAGGCGCAGACGGAAGACGTGAAGGTAAGCATCGTTACTTCCTCCATTTGCTCTCTATGCCTACCGACAGTGAATGTTGCTGTTACCGGCCGGTCAAAGAGGGAGATGGCGATTGAGGAGAACCAACCGTCGACGATTGGAGAAGTTAACTAACGAAGACGCAGACGGAAGACTGGAAGGTATGACTCTGTACTTCGTCCACTAACTCTCCTTGCCTACCTACAGTGCCTGTGGCCGTTACCTGCTGGCGATGGGAGAGCTGGCGATTGAGGAGAGCCAACCAAGGACGTTTGGAGAGGCTAACCAACGAAGGCGCAGACGGAAGGCATGAAGATAAGACCCTGTACTTCGTCCACTTACTCTCCATGCCTATCAACAGCGCATCTGGCCGTTACCTGCTGGCGATGGGGGAGCTGGCGTTTGAGGAGAGCCAACCAACGGCGATTGGAGAAGCTAACCAACGAAGGCGCAGATGGAAGACGTAAAACGAAGACTCTGTACTTCCTCCATTTACTGTCCATGCCTACCTACAGTGATTGTGCCACTGTCTGCTGGCGATGAGGATACCAGCTACCAAAAATGGTTGCTTAAGGTGCTAGGGGGTACTGCATTGTATTGCAAGCGTGTAATCGCATACCCTTTTCTAGTACACCTGTTGAATGTTACACTGTTGAATGTTACTGATGTCGCAAACTGACTACCCAAGGCAGTCGGGGACGATTTTCCGTACTACGCTGTATGTTTAGTATATTGTTCCTTTTTCTAATTCGGAGTAAATGTTGCATTTTGCTATGGCAGTGTTCCTGCTTACGATGCTGCTAAGCCTCCGGAATGAGAGAAGTTGTGATAAGCAGTTGAGTAAATTTCAACCGCAGGCCTGCGTTAGCTGATAACTGCCTATGGATGACTAATGGTAGAGTTGAACGGACGTTGTCTGTGGGATGGGCAGGTATCTCTAGCAGTGGTAACGGAGTCATCATCGCAGCGTAAGGAGGGCGACTGGTCGTCCACCGTGGAGGCTTGGTAGGTGAACATGTTTACCGGCGTCCACTAAGCCTCGTCGATAAACCCTTATGGGGCAGGAAGGGAGTGATTACGGAAGGCCTTTAGAGCGGGGACAGGGAGGTGCGAAGAGAGGGTCTTAGGCCGCAGCCAACCATGGTAGGCGGTAGGTAGGTATGGGTGTAGCTTGTAACTGGCGACGTGAACCACCCGCTGGGAAGGGCATATTAGGTCAACTAAAAAAGCTGGGTGGGAGAGCCAGTAGACTGTGAAACAGGCGGAATTGGGAACAGCCGGTGAGGGAATTGTCGAATGCGGTAAGCTTGCCGAAAGGCGAGAGGGACTGCCGGGATTGATGTTGGGACGGCGTAGGTGACAGGCCGTTGGGGGGGGGGAGTGAGAAAGGCGTGGGCTGGACGGTGAGGGAGCGGTAGGGGATTACGTAAAGGAAAGAAGTGATTACGGAAGACCTTTAGAGCGGGAACAGGGAGGTGCGAAGAGAGGGTCTTAGGCCGCAGCCAACCATGGTAGGCGGTAGGTAGGTATCGGTGTAGCTTGTAACTGGCGACGTGAACCACCCGCGGGCAAGGGCATAGCAGGTCAACTAACAAAGCCGTGGGTGTTTTAAGTTAAAAAAAACCTCAGTTCTAAGGGAAAATAATAACAAAATTTTAAAAAAATAACGATAGGTACAACATAAAAATTGAAGTTTGCAGTCTGGTAGTTTTCGGGGGTATGAATAATTTGTCCTTCATGGCAATTGAAGAACTTTGATGTCGGCCTGACCTTGAAATTATTTTCCTGTTGGGTAAATTTCGGTGTGCTCTAGTTGCTGGTTGTCAGTCTATCTGGCCAGCTGTAAGGGGGCGGTCGCACAGTTCCTACGTATTTTTCAGGAGGCCTACCATCGTGGTCTGGACTAAGAGCTAGAAAAGATGAATATATATCAGGAGTAAGAAGCATTCAATGGTAAGTCACAATCAAAACTGCCAAAATACTATTGAATCATGTATCGTATTGTTCTTGTTAATGTGAAATTATAGGAGTAGTGGTCGACTGTTTACTATGACCTAATATAGTTCTATATATGTTTAATATGGCTTTAATATAGACATACGCACTACTAATATGCAGGGTTTTATCGAAGGGTATATTTTATTAGCTTTATAAGTGATATTTAGTGTCAGGTGATATAGCTGATGAAAACGAGAAAGGGAGGAAAATAGAAGAATATCATTATTTGTTCTGTGTTTATCAATGGTGCTATCTTTTATAAATTTGATTAGTTTTAGTGCTATGTTCCGGTATGTTCCGTTGAGAACGTACGTCGGGTTGGCAGATCTGCCTTACCCGTCTCTAGTCGTGGGTTTATGGAAGACGAAGAAGGCGAAGGAGAAGAAGAAGAAGAAGAAGAAGAAGAAGAAGATGATGATGATGATGATGATGATGATGATGATGATGATGAAGAAGAAGAAGAAGAAGAAGAAGAAGAAGAAGAAGAAGACGGAGAGGGAGGGGGAGCAGGAGTAGAAATAGGAACAGCAGGTGAATCATGAGGAGGAGGCGAAGGAGGAGCAGGCTTACTACGAGACCTAGGCCAAAATGGCTCTTTCATTAGAATAATAATAATAATTTTTATTAAAGACCCGTCGGGTTCCCATCAAAGCATATAAAAATAAATTTACATTTGAATTTTAGACGAGGTACGCAGAATCTGTATAAATTGCAGTTAATATTTTCTGAATTAGTAGTCCGTCGAGAAAAATGACTGGCGAGAGATGAAAAAAACACAAAAAAATTAAAATGAATGGATTAATTTTACGGGAGAAAAACCCCTCGATAAAAAAAATAACAAAAAAATGCGGACAGGACTGGCGTATATGAGGCGGTATATAACGGATCATAATCGGACATCGTCACGGCAGAAATAAATGTCAGTCTTCATTATAATCAGACATTGTCAGGGCAGAAATAAATGTCAGCCTTGAGAGGTACGTATACGGGTCGGACAGGAATGGCTTGCATGTAGTATTGTATACGGGATTCCGAACTGACATCGTCTGGGCGGGATTGATACGCCGGATAATAATAATAATAATAATAATATAAGGACCCGTCGGGGTCCCATAAAAGAGGCCAGACGTGAGGAAATCATACACGATCGGCCACAGTACGCTTCGAGCTCAGCCGACGAGTGGGGAAGGGAGGTACTACCAAACTACTAGTAGACGGCGAATAATGAGGGTTCCACCGTGGGCGTCGACAGAGCGCTTGAGGTCGGAATGCGGGAGATGACATCAAGAACCGCGAAAATTGTCGCTATGGGGGAGGAGTGATGACAGTGGATTTAACAACAAATTCAAAACAGGTGTTTCTAATGAGGTAATTGAGGGTTACCACTTGATCTACCACTAAATCCCAGGAGAACTCTTCTCGAAGTCAAGAACCTGCGTGATCGGGAATGAGACCGTTAGCAGTGCCATTATGCTTTCCGGTGTAAGGTGTTTGCGTAATTTCGACTTAAATACCAGTAACTAAGGCGATGACCTAATTTCTGGCGGAAAATTATTCCAAAGGAAGGCATATTTGGAAGCAAAAAAGAGAAAGCGCTTAGATGTAGTGCAAAGATGCGGCGAATTCATTATGGAGGAGTTGCGCGTGGCATAAGACCGATCCCTCGGAGTGAGAGTGTCAATGGGCGGAAGATTGGAGCTAGAGTTGATGTGAAAAAGGCAGCCGAGGCTAGCTTCGAATCTTCTAAACCACAAAAACTTACTGTTAGCCAGCTGACATCTCCGAGTATAAGAAATACCGAACGAAGCTTGAGCGAACAGTTTCCGGGCGAAACCCTCTGAACATTGTGACTTCTGGTCACTCTCGCTGATGTACATTCAAAGCACGGGAAGTTTGTTTTAACCAACAAGAGCGACCAACAAAAGGTGAAATTCACACCCAGCCAATAGGACATTTCTTATTTCTGAAAAGCTGGTTGGCGTTAAGGACCTTTATTTATGTGGAAAGCGAAGTTTGCTGTTCACCTGGGTTTCTGCTGTTAGGTTTAACACAGGCGGTTGGAATCTGAACTGGCGATGTTCTCCGAAACTACTATCGCTGTTATTAAGAAAGCGTCCAATGGCCTGAGGGAAATCTAGAAATTAATCAGTAGTGATAGGGAATATTGCAGAGAAACAAGACGTTGGGGCAAAAAAACGTGTGAGAAGGATGGTAAAAGCTTATCAGCGAGGAGAGTATAACACAAAATGAGGAAAGCAGACCGAATCTTTCAAAATGCCGAAACAGTTGAAAGTAAGCGTGGACTGTTTACTTCAAAACGCTAAACATCTTATAAAGAGAGTTAGTATGTGTCACCACCGTGATTTAAAACGGCCTATGCTACTTGCTTATAAGTCAGATCTTCCCTAGTTCTATGTCAGCCCTTTCAACTTCGACTTACCCTGAAATCCTTTAAAGAACAAGTTGGTGATTGTAAGCTTGCTTTCGATAAACACTCCTTAGAACATTTTCTGTCATCCGAAGGCGCGTTTATCGGAAGAAAACCTGGTGTGGACGGTATACGGACTTTGACGTTTCGTATCTCTCCAACAAAAAAGAAATTTAGTCCAGTGTTTAGCGAAAAGAACCAGAAAAATTTTTCTGACAGACAGCATAGAGGAGAGACTTTGAAATGTTCAGGAATTTCTCCGCAAAAACATGCATAATGACAGATTTATTGGTGTGGATATGGCCGAACAACCGGAAAAATACACCACACTGACTATTGAAAAAACCCTTGTTTGCCAAAGCCCGTTTTCAAGGGAATGCTGCGAGTAAACTTCTAAGGAGACGCTTTGATTAAGCTGTCTCGCGAACCTACCTAGCAGCAAAGGTTCGAATATGATTCTCCACTAAGCTAATCTTACATGAAGAAGGTAAAGCTAATTCACAGAGTATTAGCGGCACTGAGGGAATCGAAGCCGCCAGGACCAGTCGAAATTCCACCTAATCTTCTCAAAGAACCTTGCCGATGAGCTTCCTGTGCCTTTGTCGATGCTCTTTCAAACGTCATTTGACACCGAAACACTTCCTGTCGATTGGGATTTGGTGCATATTACTCGTCCTATAAAGGAGGTAGCAAGACATCAAGCAAAAACTACAAGTCCGTAAGCTTAACAGGCATTGTCTGCAAAGTAACGGAGCAAACCATGAAGAATGAATTGATGCATTTCCTGGGAGTTCACGATCTTCTATCCAACTTCCAAAATGGCTTCTGTAAAGGAAAATCATACGCAACAAACTTGCTGCGATCCCTCCAGAGCTGGATCTAAACTCTCGACGACAGGCGCGCAGTCCACATAGTTTTTGTTTACTTCCAGGAGGCGTCAACGATCCCACATAAACCATCCGCTCATTGTCCAAGAGTGGCAAGTAGCGTATTCTCCGTATTGAACGTCATCAAACTCGCGTTTATGGATTTTGATGAAGATGATTTCTTAAGGTTTTTTGGAACATTCGTGCGGCCGCACTCGGAACACGGCACACAAGCCTGAAGACCGCGGACGGTTTAATATCAAAATTGCTTCGAAAGAATTTAGAGTAGAACCACGAAAATGGTTGGGGGTTAGATATCATTTCCTTATGCTATCCGCCCAATAAATGTGAACCTCCTCCCTTTCAGTAATAGAAAAATTTACGGGGATCTCTTACAAGCATTCTGAATAGTTAAGGGCTTGGACCGCAGCCCGACCTTCGAGGACATTTTGAATTCGCTACCATGACCAACCTCCGAGGTCAGCCGTTAAAACTGCGCACCCAGTCGGCAAGGCTAGATGTGCGGATGTTTCCCTTCTCTGTCCGAGTGGTCAAACCATGGATAGTCTTCCCTGCATATGTTTTAAAAAAAACCTTGACATATTAATGCTGCTAAATAACCAAGAGCGATGAGAGATCGAGCTCATCCTCTGAGACCCACTCGCATTTTGTTATACCACTATGGGCTCGTTTGAATTATTTCAAACCAGATGATTTCACTGTACACCACACCCATTTTTACGTTGTAAATAAGGTAATCAGAGGCTAACGCCTATTTCCCTCAATTAACTGACCACAGACCACATCAGTGTGCATGTATACCTTCATTTAAATATATATATATATATATATATATATATATATAATGCAAAAAGGCGCTCACCGATCAGGTTACGGAACATGCTCGTTCGGCTGGGCCTTGGGTCTTATACTTGAACCCTCGCAGGCAGAAACACAGTGATTAGTAGCAGACGTTAAGATATAGTAACGACAAGGACAAAAGAGACCAGAATGACCGTATCCGGCTTGTCAGCCGCGATCAGCCAATCACACTCAACCCCGAGTGTTGCTCACCTAATATTCCAACCGTGGATCTTAATGATAGAGTTTGAGCCGCGGGCCCGTTATCCTCTCGGTTATGATCGGGAATATCAACTATGACAGATGGGCGCCCACCGATCAGGCTACGGAACATGCTCATCCTATCGTGCCTTGGGGCTCATACTAGAAACGTCGAAGTCAGTCGCACAGCAAATAGTTGTAGACGTAATTATCTGTATAGTATATTTAGGGTAATAGGCAGTGCCCTTGATGACCCTATTGAAAACGGTACATATAATATAAATGTTAAATGCACATCTTACTAAACTTTTGCCAGTAACATAGTTGCTTACGCAAAGCGTTTTTACAGTGTGGAACTGCGAAGACTGCGGCAGGCGGTCTTTTCCATTTATATGTGAAATTTTAAGTGCAAGTATATGCAATCAGCCAAAGGGCAGTCATTTGCGTAGATAGCGAGGGAAAATTTCATAAAGCGTTCAGGGATGTGTTATATTTGGATGAAATCAGGGAATCAAATTTATGGCTGACCACAGATAGTCCCGCAGTGAGAGTCGTCGTTTATCAAAGATCAAGCGATCCAGATGCTTTTTGAATACAACCATTGTATCATATGTCACTATTTCACTTGGGAGTGAGTTCCACGGTCGAACAACACGCTGAATAAGTGAAAACTTCCTATGATCTAGACGTGTACGCTTCCACTAGACCTTGTACGAATGACCGCGCAGGTGACTTATGGTCGTGAAGTCAAAGAAGTCTTCGGATTTGAGCGAACGTTCATGCCCGTGGATAGTGCGCAATGTCCATAAAAGGTCACACCTCCTTTGTCCATAGGATAGGGGAACAAGTTTAGCTGTCACATTAAGTCAGTTTATTAAGGGAATGAGGCTTTCGCCCTTGAGCTCCCTATTCATATCGATAAGCAGAAATAAAGTCATCAATTACATCAGCAAATGCGAAAAGTTTATAAGTTAGCGGTAAGTGTGAGCCAGGCGCAATCTGCCGCCGCTAAAAAAATCATTATTATATGTACAGTAGGTTCTCAAAAAATGAGCATCTAGTCTGCTTTTAAACGATTTGACACTTTCGGAAAGAAAGACGGCATCAGGGAGTCCATTCCATGCCCCGATGACCCTGTGAGAGAAGGCGTTCCGTCGGAC